GCACTGCAGAGCCCAGGAAGGAGGCCATCCTCCCTGCTCCGAGCGTGTCCAGCCCCCACAGGCCAAGAGTCAATCTCAGAAAACCCACCGGAGTGTGTTTATGGTTACAAGAGCAGGAGACAGACAAGAGAGAGGGTGTAGCTGTGTTCATCAGGGCAAGCATGCAATAACCACTTTCCCAAAACACAGTCGATCTGGGAGCCTTGTGTCGCTGGTGTTGAGATGAGGACTCCTCTTAGGAGGTGCAGGGGAGTCTGCTGATTATGCAGGTCATCTTGATATTTACTGTTGATTCTCCCTGGTCCCCTGGCAAATTCCTAAGTAAATGATTACCCAATTGTGAGGCTGGGAATGGAAAACATTATGATGGGGCAGGGGTTAAGAATGAGCCCTAGAACTGAGGTCAGGACACCCAGACTGAGCTCCTCAGGCCTATCATGTGCTTGTTAGTGAGGATAACGCCCATCACCACTTTGTACCATCTGGCTCTGAGTTCAGGAGGTCTGAGTGAGTGGGTGCAGCAGCTAGACATATTGGCAGCCTGGGCACAGGGAGTCACAGCAATGCAGGGGAAAGGGCTTTGCCCGGCTGCTTGGTGGGCCCTGAAGGGAGGTCTGAACCTCATGGTGCCTGGGACTGGCCCCCCCTTGAGCGCAGCTTACTTATCATCTTAGAGGACATTACATTGGACAAACTGGGCTGCCAGGTGCAGGCCCAAGACTGGCCAGTGTTCAGGCCTCGGAAATGCAGCAGCCAGAAAAATGCTAAGTGGCCAGCTCTGTGTCCTAGGGCCCGCCAGCCTTCTGGGCCAGTCCCACAATGCCAGAGAAGAGACAAAGTTACCCCTAGACAGGTTAGAAGCCATTATTTAATTAACCCAGAGGTTAAAAGGCAGCTGTGGGCAGTGGTCTAATCAGACTAGGGTCTCTCAACTTTTGCCAGCTGTGTGACCTTGAGAAGGCCACTTTACCACTCTGAGCCTTGTGCCTTCTGCAGCTTTAAGTTGGGACTACTCCCACTTCCCTCTGAGAGTGCTCAGAGGACACAGCTCAGCAAACAAGCTCCTGGTCCAGGACCCGCTGAGTGGCTGCTGCCAGGCAGGCCTCTGGGACAGGGAAGGCAGGCTGGGGCAGCCTTCCTCAGTGTCCCGGGTCGGTCCCAGTCTCTGTCCACAGTGATAACTTCCCAGTGGCGATTGGGAGTGGAGGCCTGGCTGCGGCTGGGTATCTGGCAGGGGCACAGTTCCCAGCAATGACATCTCATACCCCGCTGTGAACTTCACCTTGACCCCACACAGACCATGCATAGCTTGCTTCCCAGGTGAAGAGGGCAAGGCTTAGGGAAGGACTTCTTTCCACAGCTGCGTGGCAGGCTGCTCAGAGCCAAAGGCCCCACTGTGTCTGACACAGAGATATCAGACCTTTCTCCAACACTGTGTGGCCACTGACCAGAGCAAGGGCTGTGCAGGCAGCGGCAGGTGAACCGGGGTGCAGGTCGTCAAGAATTGATCCGCTTTTCAGAACTGTAGTGCAGTGACAATTATTTTTATTATCACTGCTACTTTTTAAAGCTGAATAGTTGAAGGGGAATACTATAAAGGATGACAAAACACAGATGGAAGAGATGCTCAGTCCAGTTTAATTCAACTGTTTTGTGGCCCTTGCTGCGGCCATGGAGAGTGGGATGCAGGCTCCTTCCACCATGCAGGAGTTCATCGAGCCCTGTAGCCCGAGCTTCCACGTTCCTCTCCCCAGCCCAGGGGAGTGCAGGAAGGACATGAAGGCCGGGACAGATGGGGGACTCATCCTGGACTAGTTGGGGGTGAGGGACAGCCTGATGTGCAGCCACATCCCAGCTTCACAGGGTAATCACAGGAGTCCTTATAAGAAGAAGTTTAGGAGGTCAGAGAGGAGATGCTACTCTGCGGGATTTGACGATAGTGGAGGAGGCCACAAGTCAAGGAATGTAGGTGGACTCTACAAGCTGGAAAGGAAAACAGACTCTAGAAGAAAGCAGCTCTGTTGACACCTGGATTTTAGCCCTGGAAGACTTGTTTTGCACTTCTGACCTCCAGAGCTATATGAGAGTAAAAGAATAAACTTGTGCTGCTTTAAGCCACTGCTTATGGTAATTTGTTACAGCAGCAATAGGCATTTTTTTTTCAAAACAGAGTCTTGCTCTGTCACCCAGGCTGGAGTGCAGTGGCATGATCTCCCCTCACGGCAACCTCCACCTGCTGGATTCAAGCAATTCTCCTGCCTCAGCCTCCTGGGTAGCTGCGATTACAGGTGTGCGCCACTATGCCCGGCTAATTTTTGTATCTTATGTAGAGATGGGGTTTTACCATGTTAGCCAGGCTGGTCTCGAACTACTGACCTTATGATCCGCCCACCTTGGTCTCCCAAAGTGCCGGGGTTATAGGCATAAGCCACCATGCCCTGCCAACAATTGGTAATTAATACAGGTCCTGTGCTTCCAACACAAACCTGCCTGTCCAATGTACCACTAGAATACTGGTCTCTGATATGTGACGGTGGAGGAAAGTTGGTGCAGAGATAGCAGTAATGCCAGGAGTAGCCGCGTGTCTTTACTGCTTTCCATGTAGACAACCTTTTAGGAGTGGTGCTAATGGCAGGAATTTTTTTTTTTTTTTTTGAGACGGAGTTTTGCTCTTGTTACCCAGGCTGGAGTGCAATGGCACGATCTCGGCTCACCGCAACCTCCGCCTCCTGGGTTCAGGCAATTCTCCTGCCTCAGCCTCCTGAGTAGCTGGGATTACAGGCACGTGCCACCATGCCCAGCTAATGTTTTGTATTTTTAGTAGAGACGGGGTTTCACCATGTTGACCAGGATGGTCTCGATCTCTTGACCTCGTGATCCACCCGCCTCAGCCTCCCAAAGTGCTGGGATTATAGGCGTGAGCCACCGCGCCCGGCATGGCAGGAATTTTATCATGGCCTAGATGAGGTTTGACTGGAGGTGACTGAGCCATGTATATCCCTAGAATAAGCTACACATTACCTAACATGTTATTCAAGACCTTCTGCAGCCAAACACAATCCAAAAAAGGCCAGTCCACACCCCACCATGACTGACAAGGCTAGGAGAAAGTGTCAGGGGGTCTTGATGATTACACCCCAATGAGTCCCCTTGGAAAATACTGTGGCCCATCCTCTGAATGCTAACCGGGTCCCCTTCCAGAACACCAGTCCCTGCAAGGCATTTCTGGCAAGCAGTGTTTTAGCCCCTGCTTGAATGCCTCCAGCAACAGGGTGCTCACTGCCTACAGGCTGGCACCAAGAGATGGGTGCTTCATTTATTTATTTATTTATTTTTTAGACGGAGTTTCACTCTTGTTGCCCAGGATGAGTGCTTTATTTATTTATTTATTTATTTGTTATTTTTGAGATGGAGTTTTGCTCTTGTTGCCCAGGATGAGTGTTTTATTATTTTTGAGACAGAGTTTCGCTTTTGTTGCCCAGGCTGGAGTGCAGTGACATGATCTCGGCTCATGTAACCTCCGCCTTTCAGGTTCAAGTGATTCTCCTGCCTTAGCCTCCCAAGTAGCTGGGACTACAGGCGCGCGCCACCACATCCGGCTAATTTTTGTATTTTTAGTAGAGACAGAGTTTCACCATCTTGGCCAGGCTGGTCTTGAACTCCTGACCTCAGGTGACCTGCCTACATCGGCCACCCAAAGTGCTGGGATTACAAGCATGAACCACCGCACCCAGCCCGAAGTCCTTCTTTAGAGAGGCAGGTGTCATTGTGAGCTTCGCCAGGCTCTGTCCTTTGGGGGAGTGCATTCCCGTCCTTCACCAGATGCTTCTCCTCTCCTGGTCACTACACAGCCAGACACAGTGCTTCACCTAACCACCACAAACCTCACTTCTAATCCCAGTCCTGAGAAAAATGCAAAAAGGGTCAGGCCCAGGAGTGTCCTGAGGCTGACCCCTCAGCCCTGCCTCCAGGACACTGTCCTGTCTGCTCAGCACAGACCCTCCCCACCATCCAGAACTGCTTTGTCACCTGATCCAAAAAGAAAATGAGGAGAAAACGTGCTATGCACATGCCACACACACTCAGACATTTGTTCTTCAAACACCAGGAAATCTATTGCTTGCTTTTTTTCTGCCCTCTTACATTACGGGTGTTCTCTGAAGGCCTTAAGACACCCCTACTTCCTGAGATTGGGGCTTCCATGAATGGTGGGCTCCCAGTCTTCTGGAAAGAAACCCCAGTAGGGTTTCAAATCTCAGCAGTGACATCATAACTGACAGGCGTTTTTTTTTTTCCTGTCAATATTTTTTAAGCATCTGGGATCCTCTCGGCACACAACTATTTATGGAAGCAGATCCACCCTGTAGTTGTTGCTATCTGGGGAAGTTCCTGAGCAATAAATGGCTCTGAGAAGGCGGAACAGTGGCTGCCCTGGGAAAATACTCCAACCAAGAATGGGCTCCAAATGTCTCGGTACCAAAAAGACTTTTGTTTGAAAATGTGTGCTTGTTTTTATGACTGTTCAGTATGTGCCTGGGTGCATTCATTTCACGCCTCCCTCCTCCCAGTCTATAATACAGAAAACAAATGTTCATCAGGAAATGCCAGCTGGTGTCAGGTTAGCTTCAGGAAAAACAATGTCTGATCAACTGCAATGCCTGTATTTGTTAGTAATACTTTACATTTTGTGGTGATTTTCATTTATCCTATGAACAGGTAACCACGGGCCAGGTGAGGTGGCTCACTCCTGTAATCCCAGCACTTTGGGAGGCTGAGTGGGTGGATCACCTGAAGTCAAGAGTTTGAGACCAGCCTTGCTGACATGGTAAAAACCCTGTCTCTACTAAACATACAAAAATTAGCTGGGTGTGGTGGCAGACATCTGTCGTCCCAGCTACTCAGGAAGCTGAGGCAGAAGAATTGCTTGAACCTGGGAGGCAGAGGTTGCAGTGAACTGAGATCATGCCACTGCACTCCAGCCTGGGTGACAGAGCTGGGCTACAGAGTAAGAGACTCCATTTCAAAAAGCAAAACAAAATGGGTAATCACATAGGAACAGCGTACAGCCTAGATGCAGCGCTAGTCTACCCCTGGGTGAGGCTGACATGTGGCTACACCAGCTCATTTTCAAATGAGCTTGCACTGGGGCCCCTCCCTTCCACATGCTGTGGAAGACCCCCACCCCAGCAGCTACCTCCTCCAATAGCTGCAGGCTTCCCATTGCCTCCAATGAGGACATCACCTGCCCTGGGGGCAGCCAGGGGCAGTTAGTGTTCAGTGGGGACTTAAACGGGCTCTGCTACCAACACCTGCCTTCCTACTCCCCAGGGCCCCGGGACCTGTCCCCAGTGCAGCACACTTTGGGGTCAGTGCCTATGGTAAGTTGGAGGAACTTTGGTAGCTAGAACAGGGGTGTTTTCTAGACTCTAGGCTGAAGGGTGAGGCGAGCAGGGTATCCAGTGTTCAAAGAAGCGGTGGCTTTGATCCAGGAAAAGAAGTCCAGGTGTTTCTGTGGGACTGTGAGGGAAAGGTGCTGTGCCCTTTGAGGGAATGTGTCATCACCACATCCCTTTCTCCTCCATGCTGTTTAGGATGGACAGGGGTGGGAATGTGATGAGCAGAAATAGCCTCTCATGGGCAGGAGGGGAAGCCAGAAGTAGCACCGACTCTCTTCAAGAGCTCTTCTGCAAAGCCTTCCTTCCGGAATAGGACCCACTAAGTTCCAGGCAAGCTTCAGTCCCTCAGTCAATTGCAACTGCTTGAGTTTGTTCATTTCAGTTCCCTTCCCCTCAGAGCCTCTGTAAGACATGCCCTTCAAAGAAACTAGCTCCAGCAAATAAAATAATGAATCATAAATTTTATTTCAAAATGTAAACGTCACTAAACATGCATACACGTTAAAACAATAAAATTTACAATTTCGTTAATTTTTCTTTTTGCATAGGACATCATTACAATATAGAATCTATGCCATACAAAATACATACAAAGTTTAATCCGAGCAAGCCAAGGCCAGACTGGGAACTGTACAACTGTAATACTTCACTGTAGTGATCCAGAAAAGATGAAACATGGCCTTCGGAATTATGGTGGGTGCTGGTTAAAAAAAAGTTCCTACAGAAAAGAAAAACATGAGCTCCATGGAAATGGTCTTGGACCCTTGGATTCTGCCTTGGGCTTTTGGCAAACGATTCCAGAGAAGCTCCACCAATGGCTTTGGATGGGAAGGGGTTGCCTGTGCGGGCCTGGGGCAGCTGAGACCCAGAAGCATGCACCCAACACATGCACACAAGCAATTCCTAGTCACCAAGGAACCACCGCAAGCCCCAAACCCGACAATGACAATGCATAGTTGCTCAGGAGAGTCTCCCTCCTGCTGAGGCTGACCAGCCCGAGGCCCCAGCACTCGGCACCAGGGGCCCCTCCAGGGAGAGGCCAGGGAGCAAAGTCTCCCACTCATACACCCAGAGGCAGGCACCTGGACCTGGCAGACGCTGGAGCTGATGAGCCCACGTGGTGTCTAGAGCCACATGGGAGGTGGCCCCTCACTCCTCTCAAGGTAGCCAGGTACAGTGGCTCCTGCACTGTGTGTAGCCTCGGTCATTCAGCTCACATACCTGCTTTCCAAATGAGCACGCAATGTGGCCTGTCCACAGGCCCTCTAGGAAGAGGCCAGGGAGCAAGGACCCTGAGGCCTGGAAGAAAGCAGTTTCCTTGCCACCCCCCCCGCCCCCCCTCCACCCCGGAATGTGTGACTTGTAGGGTTGGGGACGCTACTTCTCTCCCATCCAGTTCCTTTTTAAATAAAAGTAGTAAAGTTTTTAAAGCTGTATGAGAAAGAGAGAGGCAGGGCAGGGCCCCCACGGCCGCACTGCAAGTCCGAAATCTTCATGGGGGTGAGTAGAAACCAAGCACAGCTCCTCTTCCCTCGTGGACCGGGCTCCCATCTCCTGCCGAATTCAACTCTTCTGATACTGAGGGAAAAGAACAGCAGGCGGGAGGTGGCGCCTCACCCTAAAGGGTGCTCAGGCGTGTCAGTAGTAAGCTGGACTGTGCATCCACGTTCTGGTACAAAGGTCTCTGGAATGTGTCTCAGACAAGCCTTCAGAGCCTCAGAATCAGGAAAATTAGTCATAGGACCTGGTTCTCCCTGGGTTAATCCTGATTTCAAAAACCATCAGCCTACACCTCAGATTTTAGCTTTGGAAAATATGGTGACCAGAATTGTATACGGAAACAGCAAAAGATGTAGATAACCTACAAAGCAGTTCTTACTGGTTGCGATGTGATCAACACATCACATACCTTTTAAACCTTCTAGCACTGAGTCTTTGACTAAATGACCTTTTTTAAATGGGGGAAAAAAAATCAGTGACATCTGTCGGAAGTCAAAATAGTCAGGTAGCCCTGCAAACACAGCCACAACCGGTAGCAGAGAAACAAGGCCACACTATTGCTCAGATCACATCATCCTGTTGGGGGGCACCCCTGCCCAGCTGAGATCCTGAATGGGTCCCTAGGGAGCACCAGGATCCTGTGCAGTCCATCTTAGCACCTGTTTCTGGCAAGAAAGAGGCTGGTTTTCTGGACACACCGTGCAGGGAGACAGAAGACTTGAGGTCAAGTCTTGAGGCAGAGTGGCCAGCCCTCTCTGCTCATCCCTACCTTTGAATGACCCCTCACTGGTCTGAGCTGTGCTCTGGGTACAGCAGGGCCTGGGGTCGCCATGCCTCACGTTTGTACCTGGAGGCTGCACCATGGCAAATCCTGCACCTGCCTCAGTGTGGAGCCTGGGAAACGAGTCAGGGTTGGGAGTGAGGGGATCTTGCACTCGAGAGTCATGGGTGGGGGTGCAGCAGAATGCAGGTAGGGCTCCTCCAGGACCATGTTCCCATCCAGGACATCTCTGCATGTTCCTATGTAGCACCCTGCAGGACAGGACCCCAGGGCTCTTTGAGGAAAGGGCTGTGTCCATCTGTTTTCCTGTATGGCTGTAGGATCCAGTAGGCATTTGGGGAGCTGATAACCATTCCCCTAATATGGCTGATGTAAAGAGGAGCTTTCTTATCTGGGACATGAGCAATACCAGCCCCCAATGGCTGAGCCTGAAGTCAATTTAGGCCTTTTATAGGGGAACTCTCCCTTCACTCAGGCAACCTTCATTTTGAGATCTCTGCCCCTATGGACCACCAGAACTGAAGTCCCAAAATAAGGGTTTGAGTTTTCAGTATTATTTCTATGAGTACTGATTCTTTAACCCCATCAAAACTGGCAAGCATGGCCATAAACCACAAAAATGGAAGACGCTGAAACAGACGCAGGCTGGGAAGAAGAAAACGAAGGCTGTTTCCGGAGGGCCGCCTTGTGTGCCCGCTTCAGTGGTGGCAGCGTTCCAATGCCCACCACCCTCTTCTACGGGGCATCCCTCACTTCATGATGAGATGGAAATCTGCCCATGAGGACCCCGGTGAACTGCTCCTGAGATTCATGGATTTCTCCTCGCCCTTCAGGTGAGATGAGTTTAAGCTCCAGATGATTCAGGAGGGTCTGGCCAGGAGGACCCCTTGGGATTTCTCTCCTGGTACCCTCCCCCAATTTCCCAGTCCAGGCCGGGGCCTAAGGACCACACCCTGCCATTAAACGAGAACCACTTTGGGAATGAAGACACACTCTTACGCCAAAAATAGCCAACGCCTGCATATTTCTGTTTTAAGGCAATGTTACCCTTCCATCTATCAGACGGAACAGCCCTGGGTCATTTAAAGGAAAAATTAAATTAAGTGCTCTCTTTGGAAACAGCCAACACCCGCTTCCCTCCCCCACCCCCCACCCTGCTCTAAAACAAACCAGCTCTTCTTTTTATTCCAAGATGACTAGGTTTAGAGTCCTATCTTTTCCTTCCTATGTGCAGACAGATGTGAAGCTAGAAAATCTCCTGCCGTGACACCCTGGGCAGATCACAAGGACTGGCCCCTCCCTGGAGAGCACTTTGCTGGCCTCCCAGGGACGGGCTGCTCCCTCTCCCTGCCTTTGGGAACGGTGGACGGTGAGTGCACCAAAGGACTTTGGAATAAAATTCCTGAACGTGGAATGTGAATTCCTGAGACATGAAATGTATTCAGAGTGTGGCTTTCTCTGCCTCACACGAAAACAACTTTGGGAGGGACCTCACTTTGGAACTGGGCATGAAGATCTTTGCACCCCAAGCACCCAGGGCTCTCTTCTGTCAAGGTCCCTACCGAATATTCCACTCTGTCTTCCAGACCCGATGCAAGCAGGGCTGTCAGGGAGCCCAAACACAGCACGGCAGCCAGAGTGGCCAGCTCTGTATTCAACCAGAGCGGGGGTGACCCTCTCCCCGCCAGTTCCCACTGCAGCAGGAATAATGCTACTGCCCAATTTAGGGTCCATCGTGCTACCTGGAAGCTACTACCATGCTGCGGGCCAATGCCAGCTGACAAACAGTAGTGAGAAACGGGCACCTGATGCCATACTGTGCCTGCGCAGCTGCTGTGACAGAGGGCACTTGTCCACTCTGGAGCCAGCCCAAACAGTGGCCAGCGGCTGGGCCTGGGTCCCGGGTTTGTGCTGCACCCCACACTGTGGTGGGGCCAGGTAGAAGCAGGATGACCACAACCAAGGCACACTGGGCCCAGGAAGGCCACCTGTGGCCCTCTGAGGTCCCAGGGCCATTCCTTTGCATCAAAATAGGTACTCATCAAAACAGGTATCTCTGGCAAGATACCCTGAGTCCACCCCAATCCCCCCACCCCCCAACACACATGCGTGTGTGCAGGCGCACACATGCATGCACGCACGCACACACAGATACGTACATGCACGCAACACACACAGATGCGCACATGCACGCACACACGCGCACACACGCACACACACACACACTGTCCTGGGCCCTTGCATTTACAGGCCCCAACTCTGAGGAAGAAGGGAGGGCAGTACCTGGGCCACAAGCCTGGGGTCAACACTCCAGCCATCTGCAGAGGAGCTTGCTGGACCACGGCTTGACTGACCTGCCCAGCGCTCAAACCCAGGCCCCGGCTCTCCACTCCTTCTCTCCTGCCAGGAGAAGGCCGGTGATGGGGCACCAGAGCAGCCACACCAGCTGGGTGTGGCCTGGGGCCTCCAGGCAGGGCAGGGAGAAGCAGGAAGAAAAGGGAGGACGAGTCCAGGGGACACGGAGACGCCGGAGGTTTGCTAAGTCTGAGTTGGGGATGTGGTGGGTCTGAGAAAAGCGTCTCCCACAACTTTCCATCTGGCGTTCCCTGGGGAGGAAGCAGAATGCACGCTCTCCAACAGCATTTCCTGTAACATCCACGCCACTCCTGAAAAGGTCCAAGTCACAATGTTCCGGTCTCTTGCTACCGAATGTTCTCTGTGAAGCACGGTACACTGCCACATGCACAGCTGCGCACACAGACCCTCTGATGAGGAGGCCCCAGGACCTGCCCACCGTTTCCAACAAAGGTGCCCATGCGGGAGGACTCCGGAACTGGATGTGCCACCAGGAATTTCTGACATCATTTTAGAAGCCCAGAATTCCTCATTGGAGGCCCAGGTATGATAGTGACGGGGTCCCGCGTGCCTTCCGTAGGGACACAAAGAAGTGGAATCCCGGCAGGTGTGACCCAGCCGCTGCCTCGGAGGAGGCCAGATGGTGCAGCGCTGTGTTCAACCAGGGCTCGCACCTCTGCTTCCAGTGCTCCCAAGCGCCCTAGGAGAGGGCTCCTGGAGGCGAGGAGGGAGGCAGGCAGGGCGCAGAGGGCTGAAAGCCCACTCCACAGTCATCAAGGTGGAGTGCTCCTCCGGCCGGCACAGCTTTAAGGCTTCCCTTTGCAGGGGCCTGTCCCTCAGAATCAGCTGCGCTGGAAGTCTGGCCAGGCCTGTGGAGCAGAGGCCAGAGGCTGGGTAGGGCAGGCAGGGAGAGCTCAGGCCCGCTGCTTAGGAATCTGCAGCGGAAGCACAAACGTCAGTGACCACGTCTGCTCCCAACAGACCCACAGGCTGGCCAGCCAGCCAGACGCTGAGCTCCAGACTGGCTGGCCTGCTCTGTCCCCAGTGTGTCCCCGAACCTAACAGAAAACTCCAGAGTGCAAA